TATTGATGTTTCTTTCACTCTCCCCCTCCCCTTTGCTCCCTTTCCCTCTCTCCTATCTCCCTAAATCAATTTAAAAAACTATGAAAAATTCAATAAAGTAATAATAAATCAGATAAATGCAAAACAAATAACCATAATGTACCTAACAAGAGTGTAAATTTTCTAAAAGCAAAATTTTTATTTTCTTTTAAATTCTCCATCATTGTCTGGAATGCCGAGTGTTGTTATTGAATTTTTAAAAATTAAATTTTCATTGGTGTGTGATTAAAAATCAAGCATGAGACTCTCTTGTAGAAAAATAAGGCCAGATAAGCAGTGTGTGGCTATTTTGCTGATGTCCTTTAGTGACACACTTGGAGGTGAGGGGTACCGAGGCCCTGAGGAGTCCTGTGCAGTTTTGAACAGGAGAGTCGATGGCTTTTGATAAGGAGGATGTGTGAATTAAGATTGGTTCTTCAGTACAGGCATGTCGCAGACAAACTGGGGAGGGCAGGCCCTAAAGACGTGGGAGCCTAGAAAGTCAGCAGTAGTGGTAAGGCCTGTGAGCTGGGGTGGTAGTTCTCTAAAAGTACGGGCAGAAATGGTTAAGAAATTGGAAAAAATCCTTTATTTTGAAATAATTATTTTGAAATAATTTATAGTAAGTGCTGTAAAAATAGTATAGTGAGTTCCCATATATCTTTCCCTAGCTTCCCCTATAACCTTAGATCAAGATGAAGAAATTAACATCCGTATAATACTACTGACTGAACTACAGACTTTATTCAGATTTCGCCAGTTTTCCCACTCGTACCCTTTTTATATTCTCGGACCCAGTCCTGGGTATCATGTTGCATTTAATCGTCAGATCTCCTCAGTCTCCTCAATCTCTGATGCTTTCTCAGGCTTTCCTTGTGTTTCACGACCTCAGTATAGTTGAAGAACTGCTTCTTAGATGTTTCATAGTATCCCCCTCAGTTTGGGGTTGGCTGGTGTCTTCTCATCATTAGACCGGGCTTACGCATCTTGGCGAAGAACCCCACAAACGTGAAAAACACTTCTCATCGAGTCACCTCGAGGGGTGCATGATACCACTAGGATGCAACTTCGATCACTTGTTAAGGTGATCCATGCCAGGTTCCCCTCTGGAGCTGCTGTTTTTACTGGGGTGCTCAGTAGAAGCAAGTCAGTCAGTCCCATTCACAGCCCAGGGGGGAGGGGCAGGGGGAGGCAAACTCCGCCTCCTGGAAGGAAGAGCAGCGAAGAATTTGTGGGCCTATGGTAAGCCTACCACAGAGTCGGACAATATTTGAGGGAGGAATTTTGAGGCTAGGCTAATTACATAAGAAACATTTTGAGAGAGGACTTACCAGTTTTTAGAAATTGATTAATTACAAGGCATTAAAAGGAGCAGAGACATCCAGATTTTGAGGTTGGGTGAGTGGTTACAGTGTTGAAATAGTCATTCACTTTGGTTCTGGGATTGATTCAGTATTTCTGCACTAAAATCCAGTTTTACAAACAATAAACAAGGTGTAGACAGGTGATCTAGATGTAGTCCCGGGGAGCAGGGTCTCGATTCTACATCCTCTGTTAGCCCTTCGCACAGGAGAGGGTTTCAGACACACACCCTTCCGATGTCAGGCGCTCGGCCCCGGTCTCGGTCATCAGGTTGCATGCTTCACCCTCTAGCAAGATCTCTTAATTATAATTAATGCGTACTTCCCCGAATAAACTTGCCTTTATTTTTAAAATTTAAGATACGTTAAGCAAGAACATCACTCACTAGGTACTCATAGACCAGAAGAAGAAAGGACTAGAAATGTGGCGGTGACACCTGCTGTAATAGTTTATGTTGCCTTTGAAGCACCTGTTACTGTCTTCCAGGGAGTGGGGGGGGGGGGGTTCCAAGTTAGCTCTGAACCTACGTCTTTTGTGGCACAGGAGAACAGGTCTTGTTCGGTCACTGTCATCTTGCCAGTCTAACTTTTTCTTTCTCTTGAGAGAATATGCTGGATACGCTGGACTTCCTGTCTGCTTTACTTCAATTCCCGTAAAGGACTTTACCACTGATGGTAATCTTTCAGCAGACGGTGGGGGTACTCAGCAGGACTTTGTTGAGGGTATCGTGCCTCTGCTCTGTGCAAGGAGCAATTTAGTTAGGTCTCCTTACAGCTCTGCGTGAGTGGTCACAGGGATTCCTAGAACCGAGCCCTTCTTCCTGGTAATGGGTCATCCGCCAGGGGAGTTCAGAGTTTCCAGAAACCTGTTGTAAAAGTGTTTGATTGCCACCCCCCCACCATAAACCTTGTAAGTCTTGCCTCGTTTAATGATTACTAGGTCCAATTACAAAGTGTATTTTAAGAAGTTCTGTTTAGGTAATGTTTACTTCACACCTGTGAGCTTGCAATTAGTTCCTTGTAATAGAAATTTGCAGCCCTGAAATTTCTAACTGAAGTTTAAAATTATTTCATTTGAGGCAGATTAAATACTGGAATTGAGCCACCAAATTATTCAGATTTGCTGCTGAAAGCACATACGTAACTACAAAGAAATCAAGCTATCGACTGAGGAACAGTAGTGATTTAAATGATTTGTTTTGAGAACGTTCTCTCATTTACCTAAACTTACTTTTTATTTTTGTATATTATAAAAATCATTCATCTCTAAGTAGACAGTAATTGTGTGATTTCTACCCTCTTTTCCTTCTCGTTGTATCAAGTCTCTTTAGAATGCACATGAGTAATATGTTGGTTTAGTGAGTTCTTTGTAAACCACAAACAGAATGTGATATCAGTGTTAATGTGAAACTTTGGTGGTTATAACAATAAATTGTGGGTGGGATTAGGGACCTCCCCTGTTCATGTTTTTTCTTGTCCAAGTGTCAGCTGTGCTCAGATGTATACTATTTTATTTGGGAGAAACATACATGAAGTTACAGTGGCTCGGTCATCAGTGTTAGCTACAGTATTAGACTTCCTTAGAGCTACTCGGCAGTTTTGTTTAGGAGACCAAGTGATGGATTTTTGGATAGTTGGCATTTAACAGGTCCTGCGTGGAGGGGACAGAAATGAGCTAAAGGCATCAAACATTCTTAGATTTTCTAATACATTCTCTTCTTAAATAAAATGATAAAACAGGTCAGTGTTAAAAACCTGATGAAATGATGTATAGGTGGATGACGTTCATTAAAATTAGCTGAAAAATGTGAATAAAATTCTTGGTAATGTCATTTTATGAATGCCTAGACCAATGTAGTAATTCTTTTTAGCTGGAAATACCTACTCATGATTATCATTGCTTCTTACAATACTTAACGTTAGGGGTAGCCTCCTCTGTGTGCACACAGTGTTAGCACACCCTGTGTTCATAGCAGCGTCATTTACAATGGCCAAGCGCTGGAAACAGCCTAAATGCCCAGCAGTAAATGAGTGGATCAAAAACTGTGGTACATTTACACAATGGAATACAATGCATCAGAAAGAAAGAAGGAACTCTTACCTTTCACGACAGCATGGATGGAACTGGAGAGTATTATGGTAAGCGAAATAAGCCAGGCTATGAAAGACAAATACCATATGATCTCACCTATAATAGGAACCTAATGAAGAAAACAAACAAATGGGCAAAGTAGAACCAGAGACATGGAAACAAGGAATAGACTGACAGCGACCAGGTGTCAGGGGGACAAGAGGGGAAGGAAGGGGAAGTGTCTAATTAACAAACAGGTACAAATGACCCATGGACATGAACAATAGGGTGGGGATTGACTGTTAGGGGGATGGGGCAGGGGAGGGCAATGGGGAAAATTGGGACAACTGTTACAGAACAACAATAAAAAAAGATAAGGAAATAAAATGCATTTAGATTGACAAAAAAATGTTAGCCCATATTTGGTGGGCCTTGACTTTCATAACTCCTATTTTGAGCATTTTACTGACTTCCCAAACTCCTTTCTGCGTGTGAGATGGAATCTTCCATAGTCTGTCTCCCAAGTCTTGATCATTTTGAACTTGCATCGTGCTTGCTTCTTGCCCCAGATAAAATCGGCAGTGTTGTTTAGCTTAGGCAATCTGGCTGGCAGTCGTCTAAATATTTTCCCGGTGTCCTGCCTTGTGGAGGCAGCCTCCCAGAAATCCTAGATCGCCAGGCGCTTCTCCGGATCCCTGCTCAGCCAGAGCCTGCGGTTGGTTTGCTTTCGGTAGTGCCCGTCACCCAGGTTTTGCCCCAGCCACCCTCTCCTTTCTGTCACCCCTGCGCCATCTTACCGCCCAGGTTTTGCTCTTGTGGGGAGTTGGGCCTGGTCGATGGGAAGGCCATAGAACTGTACGAAGGGCAAATACCTCGTTCTGATTTGCAAGGTCACAGGTTGTTGAGGTGCCTCTGAAGGTTATCTGCTGCTCCCTGGGGTGCTTGCTGGCTTGGGGTAAGGATGGTATTGCCCTCAAAGCCTTACATAGGGATTCGGTTAAGTCTTTTACCACCATGAGAACGTAGCCACCGTGAGAGCGTGTGCATTGACTTGCATACACTCAGCCTTCAAGGGCATCTGTGGAATGTTTTACGTAAAAGTAGGGGACTGCCAGTATTAAATGAGGCTTTACTACAGAGTTTACTGTTGCTTCAAGGTTTGTATATAAGGCTTAAAAGTGAAGGCGTTACCATGTAAATAGTGTTTTATTCAGTTCAGTGGTGACTGGTTTCAGCCCTATAGATCTCATGAAAATCACAAATTTTTTGAGAAGTGCTTTCTTACTGGGATTGCTTTTCATCTTCTGCTGATTTCTAAATGGTATTTTGTTTTACATGGGTCCAGCAAGTTAGTGACCGGTGGACATACTCTGGCTGCTTTGTTATGTTTGCACAATATGTGGATCAAGAGCCAGGTCAGCTAGGCAGGTGTTTGCGTGGTTGCAAAACCACCTTGTTTATTTTTTTAACTTACTGCATACATTTTATCTTAATCACAAGACTCCGGTTGGCAATGAAGCTCACGACTCTGCTTCAGGGGAACTGGGTGAGGCGTCGCAGGGCAGCGTGGGGATGGACTTCGGAACTAGAGCGCCGTGGGTTGAGAACGCCGCTCCGCCTGGTAGCTCGTGTGTGTGTGTGTGTGTGTGTGTGTGTGTGTGTGTGTGTCCGTCCCAGGACAGAGTGGTTGGTCAGGTCTTCTTTCCCTCGTTTGTAAACCGGGGGAAATGGCGTTATTTTTAAGAATTAAAACATTTTTACTGTTGACCCTATGGCAGACGTCCCACGTGGTAGTGATTTTTGCGGTGGACGGTGTTAACAGAAGAGCCGCTCGTCTCCCGGCAGCTTTCTCGCCGTGTTAGTGCTTCCTGTTACTTCGATCTGCCGCGTCTTCTGTGCTTGTGGTTCGAATCCCCGGGTTGCTCTTCGTGGAGGTATGTGAATGGATTGGTCCCTTAAAGTTCACTCGATGCTGCTTTTAATAGGTATCAATTTTATTCCAGTCCTCCTGAGGTCATAGAACATAGGACAACATTCAAGTCTTAAAAAGTATTATAGTAAAACATTTCTTGGCGACTGATCCTAAGTCTCAAATTCACATTACTGGGTAATATTTGTGAGCTCTCTATTGTCAAAATATAGTCTTAAAAACTCTTAATTATACTGGAACCAGTAAGGTAAAATATAACTTCAGGTTTGGCGTATAAACACTGGAAGACTGAATTTAGAAATTATTCTTATAAAATATAGCTTTAAAAGAGTGAAAGTTTAAAGCCTGCATTGTTTGATGTCTCAAACTAAATTGTGCTAATTGGCGTTACTCTGGATATTTTGGATTTTATTCTTGAGTCCTTTACTCGTCATAGTTCAGCCTTTTAACCTTGGCACGCATATCATTGCCCCGGGGACCATCGCTCAGGAGGCGATGACACCGTACTGTCCGCGCTGATGATGCCTCCCTGACTATCACGGATATGTATCTCCTAAGTAGGCCAGTCACATAATACGGGAGAGCAGACCTGGCCTATCTCATTTCAGAGCAGTGCCAAGGCTTTGTCTTGGCTGACCGGACAGTCTGCGCGCAGCCTAGTACTTTTCAGATGCCCTAGAAATAAAATGAAAACAAAGTAATGCAGGGAAAGTGTTTCAAAGCAGATCGGACCTCCACCTGCTCTTTTCTAAAATGCTTTCACTTTCTAAGCAATTACTGAAGAATAAGGAAATCTTTCTTCTTCTTCTTTTTCCCCCCTTCTGCCTATATTCCGTAAAATACCTCTTTGGATATCTGTGTTCAGAAAAAAAAAATCGAAATGATCAAAACTTTTCATTTTCAGTCTTTCTCTGGTGCGGTGGTTCTGTGGTTTGAAAACGCCCGTGGAACTCGGGCAGAGGCATACGAGCAGAAGCGTACTAATGTCATAAAGCAATAAAGTAATACCATTACCACTTCATAGGTCACATTCATAGTTGAGAGGATAGTTTTTCTTTTAATAACTAAGCCCGTGAAATGAGATGCGGATCAGGGTGGTAATAAAGGGATTCCATTCATATTACATTTATTGAGTAAACATTTACTAATCCTGCCTAATAAAGGAAAGGTCGGTCAGACGGTGAGAAGCCTGACTTACGGAGCGTTTTCGAAAGAGGACAGCTGGGTTGCTCTCAGTAATGCGCAGGGTCGGCCCCAACTAAAGAAGGAGAAAGAAGGTAGCAACCAGGCTTCTTTCGCAAGGAAGAGCAGACTGGGTGAGACTCGGGGGAGTAAGCATGGTCGTCACTCACAGTCAGTTCCCAGTTCCGTTGGACGTAGTGAACCCTGCGTCTCTGTCCGATGGCTTCTCCGGCCTCTTTGTTCTCTCCCCTCCTCACCTCCTCACGGGTAAGGGCTCCCCCCCCCCCAGTGCCCCCCTGCTGTTTTCTTATTTTGTTCTCTTTCCACCCACACGTTTCCCTCAAATAATTTGAAAATCGAGATGTAATCCACATACTATAAAATTTTCCCTTTTAAAATGCACAATTAGGTGGTTTTTAGTGTATTGCACAATAACTTGTGCAGCCATTACTGCTATCTAATTGTAGAACATTCATCACCCAAAGAGAAACCTGCATGCATTAATAGTCACTGCCTGGTTTCCCCGCCCCTCGTCCCTGGCAACTACTATTTTACTTTCTGTCTCCATGGAATTACCCGTTCTGTACATGTCATGTGTGTGGGATCATGTAATGTGGCCGTCTGTGACTGGCTTATTTCACTTAGCGTAGTGTTTTCAAGTTTCCTTCACATTATAGCATGTACCACTAATCAGTCCGTTTCATTACTGAGCAATATTCCACTGTGTGAGTATCCCCCACTCACCAATTGATAGACGGGTGGGTTGTTTCCACTTTCTGATTTATGAATGATGCTGATATGAACGTTTGTGAACGAGTTGTTGTTGACTTGTCTTCAGGGGTTTTTTTTGGGGGGGGTATATGTCTAGGAGTGAAATTTCTTGGTACTGTGATAACTCTGCTTAACTTCTTTAGGAAATGCCAAGTGTACCATTTTACTTTTGTACCAGCTACAAATGAAGACTTCAGTTTTTCCACATTCTTGTCAACACTTGTTACTGTCTGTCTTTTATTGTACTTATCCTAGTGGACGAGAAGGGGCATCTTTGTGGCTTTGATTTGAATCACCGTAGTGACCAAAGATGATGAACGTCTTTCCATGCACTTACAGGACATTGTATACCTTCTTTCCCCATTTTTTAACATAGTTGAGTTGTAAGCCTTGTTTTTGTATATTCCAGACACTAGACCTTATCAGATACATGATTTGAAAATATTTTCTCCCATTCTGCAGGTTGTCTTTTCACTTTTTTGATGCCTTTTGAAGCATAAAATTTTTAATTGTGATGGTTTTATTTATTTTTTCTTTTGTTTTTTTGGTGTCACGTTAAAGAAACCATTGTCATGCAGAATTATACATACGTTTTTTTCTGAAAGATTTATAGTTTTAGCTTCAAAAGATTTATAGTTTTAGTTTCAAATGATATCAAGAGAGTAAAAGGACAAGCTGTAGAATGGGAGAAGTGTGTTTAAATCATGTATCTGATGAGGAAATAGTGACCAGAATATAGGAGATCCATTTTGAGCCAGTTTTCCTGAATGGTGTGAGATGTTAGGTTCATCTTCATACTGTTGCACATGGATATCCTGCGATTCCAGCATCAGTTGTTGAAAAGATTATTCTTTCTACATTAAGATGTCTTGGCACCATGTCAAAGTCAATTTTTTTGTAAACGTACGGGTTTATTTCTATTCCATTGATCTATGAGGGTGGATCCCCAAAAAACCAGAATTATTTTCCGGAGGGTGGGCCCTTATAGTACAGGCTTCCCCCGCTAGGTGAGTGTTCTAGGAACCCATCTGCCTCAGTGCACCAGCTGGCGTTGTTGTGAGAGGCTGCGATTGGCTTCAGTGAATTTTTTGAAGACTCTGAACATGTTTTCCCATATCATAATGGGTGATGTACGAGCATACCTGCCCACACTGCACTGAGTGTTCAGCAGTTTTTGACCAAAAATGGCATCACCCCTGTGCCCCACCCTCTCTGTTCACTTGCTCTCACCCCAAGCAACTATGCCCCTACTTCCCATAAAAGAAAAGTCCCCAAAGGGAAATAATATCCTGGCAGTGTGGAAAAGGTGGAAGAGGTGCAACCAAAAAAATGACTGAAGAACAGAACGGCATCCAAATGGACAAGTTCGAAAACTGTTTTACACAGTGGAAAAAAAGTCTCGATAGGTGTATTGCATCAGATGGAGAGTCTTTTGAAGGTGACTGAAGTTTACACATGTAAGAACAAATACACAATATTTTATCAATAAATTCCATTTTTGGGTCCTCCGTCACATATATCTACTTTATGTCCATATCACATAGTCCTAATTTTTGTAGTCTCTTGAAATTGGGAAGTGTGTATGTTCTAAATTTGCTCTTTTTCTAGATTGCTTTAGCTGTGTCAGGACCCTTGCAATTCCGTATGAGTTTTAGAGTCAGCTTAACAGTTTCTGCAAAAGTGAAGGCAGCTGGGATGTTCATAAGGATTTGGTTAATCTGGTTCATTTGGGGTGTTGCCGTTGTGATGGTTCTGAAGCTTCCAGTCCATGCGCACAGGACACATTTCCATTTATTTATTTAATCTTTAATTTCTTACATTGGTGGTGTCAGTGTACAAGTGTTCCGCTTTTTTGTTAGGCTTATTTCACAGTTTTATTCTTTTTAACACTATTGTAAAAGAAAAAGAAGAATGATAAAGCATATGTGGTAAAAGTAACATTGGAGGAATCTGAGTGGAGAGTATATGAGAATTCTTTATACCATTTTTTCAACCTTTGTATAAATCTGAAACTATTTCAGAAAAAGTTTTAGAAATGCTATGTAAAAGGGAAAAAAGGCAAGCAATAGATAGAAATTAGCACTTGGATTCCCCAGTGCTGTATGTTAGTTGTCAGGTCTTATCTCTGGGAAAGAAAATTAATTTAAAAGAAAAAAAAAAGAAAGAAAAAAAATCACCGAAGGTCACGTCACTAACACATATATCTTTTTCAGTTACATTGCAGTTCTCTCTACTCTCTGTCCTGAGGGAGGTATTTCCAACTGCTACCCAAAACAATCAGACAAACAAAAAACTTTCCTAATTGATATAGCCAATGAGACTTCTCTCCTCCAATATTTGGCAAGATGTTTTTCATCTCCAGTGTTTTCCTTAGGCTTTTAGTATCGTGCACACTAAGTTAGAATGTACATAAGCCACTGGTTGTTGGTGTCTTAAGCTACTGAAACACAGGAATAGGATGACGATGGACTTCATCTCTGCGCGGAACACTGGAGGTTTAGAGAGAAAGCTAAAGCGATGACAGAATGAGAATGTAGATTTGTATTTTCACGTTGGCTGTTGTGAAACATAGTCAGGTATATACTGCTGTGCCTTTTTTCTTATTTGTTGCTATCTGTGCATACAAGATGGGAATAATTTCCAGTATAAAAAAGATGAGCTTATTTTTCAGATAATGAATCAAAATAATAGATTTTTTACTTTCTTGAGAGTGCTGTTTTGAAATCAGTGGTTTGCATAATTTAATTTTTCTTTTTAAAGTAGTCGTAGGAGGAAAGGCTATAAAAACAGACAGCTGCTTTTAGAGGGGAAAACAAGTTTTTAACTGCCTCAGAGCATTTTTAAAAATAAGAGTTCATCTTGGATTTGGAGCGTGTTTTCAGTGCTGATTAAACAGGCAGACGCTCCTGTCAGCAGTGGGAACGACCGAGGGTGGGCGTGGTTCCCGGCACAAGCAGATGGCGCCCTGCTTCTGGCCAAACGGCAGGAATTCCTTAAGCGTGCACCCTTGAGTCCTTGTCTTCCCACGGTCCTGTGCACTTTTAAACTCAA